AGCAATCCGGGGTCGCTTGCCAACGATAACTGAAGAAAGCACTGAACTTTCGTCGAAGATCCTGATTTCTCGCTCAGTGAAGGTGACAGACATTACTCAGATGGAACGGTCCAGCTTCGGAGACTCGAGAATGGGGACGAGTCCAAGGAAGGTCTGCGGCTGTTCGATTCTGAAAAGCCGATTGCCGGTTCACATAATCTGGTCAGGTGAAGTTGAAGCTTGCTGTTGAACTCCGACCTACTCCAGCCTCCAGCCTCCATGCATCCACCAGGCACCTTCGGCCTGAAGTGCACCTATGGATCCATGGCAAGAATTCGTAGAATGAGAGAACTCAAGTGTTTACGTAATTACTCCAGTCTCTTCACCAAATTGATCCTGTTGTTCTCTCTACATGTGGCCTCTACAACGCCGGGTTGTGGGTTGGCCAAAAGTCCAGACAAAAATAAAATATATCCCAAAATCTGGGACAAGTTCCCATGAAAATCCAGGACCAGGACCGGGACTCATCATATAAACACCGGTCCATGTACTGTGATGCACTCTACCACTGAGCTAAGAGGGCCATGTTGTCTTGTTTGGTATGAACTACGGTCTAGGGGTCGGAGGGAAGGATACAGACATTTCAACATGTTGTCTCAGCGGCTTCAACTTAACCTTCAAGAGGCGAGGGTCAATGCAGATTGGTGAGAGGTTCAAATAGTAGTGGACATGAAGAGTCAAACACATTCAACAGAAAGTGAAGGATGACAATGCCTGTGTCTAGTCAAATAGATTTGACAAGACATAAGAATACAGGAGGATATAGAACTAGTCGACATAGCAGAGCAGCAAAACATAAAGAGGATCATATCTGCCCTTGTCCTCTATCAAATAGGATGGATCGAGGAAGTGCATGGGAAGCATAGAGCCAACAAAGTCAATGGATGTGCAGAAAAGTCAAGGCAAGGTGGTGTCATAAGCAAAGCCTCTTGTCCTAGATCAGATATAAAGTGAGTAAGGCCAACAAGCAGTAGGGCTTGGTAACGGGGACAAAGTTGAATCTGTATACCAAATGCAGCCTCTCCCATCATTAAAACTCTGTTCAGCTCGTTGAGAAGGCATATTCGGGGTATCCCTTTGCATCTAGACATATTCTCACTGCTGACTTTCACCGAACCAACACCATCCGAAAACCTTTTCAGCGACTTCTTTTGTGTCTATTTCCCACGTGCACAATGATATCTTCTGTTCCTACAAAGCAGTTTTAACGGATGTAACAGAATGAGACAACCTGAGGCTTTGCCTGGTTTCTCAACTAGAAAGAGCGAGGCTCAGAGACCAATCGCGTGGGATTGACCAGCTCACATTGAGCCCGTGTGAATTTCCGCACATGTTGAATTTGGGATTGCCAACCCAATCATGGGTGTTCAGATAAATTATATGTTGCGCGACGTAGGCATTTACATCTAATGGGATCATCGGACCTCGATGCTTGACTGCTCTTCAAATGGGACAGGATAATTGAGAGCCAGATCGAGAACTTGAAGAGACAGGCAGCGACTTTTTAGGGACTTTATTGAGTTGTAGATGTTATTGACGGGGCAGTAAATCACTCAGATAGTAGATTCTTTGGACAATGAATGAGGACTCTGAAGCACATTTGAAAAATTAGAGGGTAGATGGCTGCTGTTTGTGGGTTGCCCACAGAGGAGAACATGTAACGTGCATGCGGTGCATATGCAAAGTCGAGGTGCACAGTCTCTGTAGGCTCTTCAAAGTTCATGCACACAAAGTTCATGCACACTAAGTAGCGGCCCAATCTACGTGCTCCAGTACCAGTTTTAGTTCTGCTTATACATGTATATCCGCTAGGGTTCACCAGGGGTAGAGGTAGAGGTATGAAACAGTCAACCTCTACCTCTACCTCTCAAACCCTTACCCCTAGAGAGGTATAACCTCTACCTTTCAGGAGGTACAGGGAGGTACAAACCCTTGTACCTCTTGCTTGTACCTCTGGAGAGGTTTGGAGAGGTTTCAGAGAAAAATAACCACACATAGTGTGCTGGAGTACTGTATAGGGTGTTTTGCACCTATTATACGGGTCTGTACACTCCTTCCAGCTTTGGGGCTGTGTATTGACTAGATGGAACATGTTCCAATTCTGTTATTGTTCTTATCCGGGCTCAAACACGGCTCAAACCCTTCAGTTTTTCCAGCAACACTTTTCCATTGTTACAGTCCACTGTATGGAGACCAAATTAGCCCAAAAGGTTATGCAGAATTACCCTCCAATGTCTATAAACCAGTACCTCTCTGTACCTCTGTACCTCCGGAGGTTGACAGAGGTTTGCCCAAAGGTATGAATGTCCCAACCTCTACCTCTACCTCCCCCATACCTCCCACCGTACCTTGGGAGGTATACCTCTACCCCTGGTGATCCTTAATATCCGCACATTTTTTCATTGAATGCGCAGTGTGGTGTTCAATGACTGTCTAGTGGACCTGAATCTCGATCATAGTGCAGTTTTATTCCCGGCTTCTTTTGGGGTCGAGTTTTCTGTGAATCCATGATGTCGAGCTAATGAGAGCCTTCGGGCGTGCATGTAGATCTATGTGAATATTTGCAAGAGTTTAAGGGATTCAGAGGCTCGGGAGCTAACATGAGATACCGATGGAACATTGGCAGCTCCAGAAAATTTGATCTAATCCAGGGATTCTTTATGACCTTATTTCTCATTAAATATTCGAGCATCAGTTCCGAAGTTCAGTTGTGCGTCGGAAGTTTTCAGCAAGTGCAGATGGAAGTTCAACTTGAAGTTTGGGTAATCCCCAGTTCTTCATGAGTTAGATGACTTGGCTACGGGCTTTCACTCGCAATTTAACGGTGTTACTCTTGCATCACTATCTTTTCCGGCGCATAATTGTAATGTGTTTGTGCCGGACCTCCGAAAAAAGGCCAGCCTGATCCGGCCATCAGATGTGCCCCAAAGTCATTCGACTGACCCGACCATACCTTTCTGGATCACTTTCTACTGTATCCAGTAGGCTGGCCGGGTTTTTGTCGCAGTGGGGGACATGAGCATCATGCATGGTGACAGGTGTTTAGTTGCAAGTCTCGAGGCAATACTTACAATATTTGATGAACTTCGAGTTCAACCTTGCGGAAAACTTCAGGTTGACTGTTCCATCTCCCCAGATAGTATCAAGTGCGACCTGGATAGCCACGAAACTGGAATATTTTTAATGAAAAAGAGTTCATAATTCTTACTTGGCTAGTTGAAGTCCGAAAAGAGAACACCAGTCGCTGATTCAACCACCTCGAGCAAGTGGTTGGCAAGTGGATGAAATTGAAATTACTGTTAACGTTGGTCTGGATGAACCAAAGCTGAACCAAGTCATTGTGAATTGTGATGTTAGTGGGCTCTGCCGTGACAGTCCTACAATTGACATCAATAAAGCAGAAATGAATGCTGGTGTATACTGGGAACACCAGATCGGCTGAGGAATATCGTTCACACGGGAAATGATGGCCGCGTCCAGCCTCACTGAGCCACTCAGCAAAAATAACATAAATAACACATCAAGTGAATCTCTTTTGGAGCCCAGCAATCTGTAGCAGTCCTCAAAAGATGTGGAAAAAGGCCCATGAAGGAGGGGACTCTAACCATAAGGGTAGGCTGGAAACTATGATCAAAAGGCTCTCCATCACTTTTTCTCGAAGTATGACTCATCGCTTATGACGGATTTTTGCTTGTCCTTGTTATGAAAATGTGATCTACCGCAAGTTTCTGAAATTCGGGCGCCTGTAGAAACCCAGTACGTTACCGGGAATGTGATCTACTGTAAGTTCCTGAAATTAGTAGCGCACCCTGTAGAAACCCAGTAACTTACGTTACCGAGAATCAGGAATCAGATTCCGGATTGGGTCAAGAGGGAATCAACCCTCTGCCGATTGAATGGTTTGGTGCTGGCCGGCACTTCTGGAGTGTTTCTGTTCATGAAGTCCCGTGATTCTCCCCATTGTTGCACCGGGTGTTCCTCGGATTGCACAGGGAAATAATTCCGACAGAGCCTCGGGCATCTCGGTTAAGTTTGATTCTGAAATGAGACAGATGACCAGCATCATTCAATTTTGGGCGAGCACCTGTGCAGCCAATCTTGAATCAGAATGTGGGACAAGCAGGTGAATCCACATTACATGCTTCATCTCTGGTTTCAACTTGGTTTGACTGTTTGAGGATGATGGAGGGTGGCATCTTCCCTCAACTTCACCGATCTGGTTCAGCATTATGTCTTGGAAAATCCAGTATTGTCCAGAACTGTATTCTCAGTCTGAATCAGTCTGAATTATCACTTTCGAGTGGGTGATCATGTGACCATCTTCAACTTTCTTTTGATGAAGTTTAGGCCGAAAATGCAGTCCCTACCTCTGAGGTTTGATCTGAGACACCGTGCTAGATCGCCCTACACTACTGATAAGGACCTGCAAACAAATTTGGCAACCAGCTGCAGCAGAGTTGGACTTTACCGAGTCAAGTGGCTCCATCATTAAAGATTGAAGAACCTAAAGCAGGGAAGGACATGGCTCTCGGGTATACCTGCGGGTATGGACAGGTACGGGTACGGGTACGGGTCGCAATTTTGAACCTCTGCCTGCGTACCTGACCCGTGTACCCGTGGGTTTTGAACATGTAGAAAAATTGTGCATTTTGCTGCCCATCAGTGGCCAGAAAAGAAATGGGACCCCGTGAGTCTTGATGTTACACTGCAGCACATGAGTTCATCTGAATTTGCGCCACCAGTTTTTTCTGTCGCGTACCAGCGCCAGACAGTCTTGTCAATTACCGGAAAATACACTCACTAGCTAAAGAATCGCTGCACGGACCACTGTCAATGCGATTGGAATAAATGAAGTTGAACTACATCAATATCTATACACAACGCTTTTGTACTGCAAATCATGGGGTTTTACGCGACCTCTGAGCACCCGGTGTATCAAAGGTACGATGGAGGCCAGGGAGGCCTCTGTGGATGAAGTAAATCACCTCTTGAACATTCGGATCGTCATGAGAATTTATCGAGGAGAAGTGGGTTCGATTCCCACCAGAGGCATGAAGCGTCCCAAGTCGGCAGACACCTATCTTTTTTGCTTCTCTGTTGCATATGTGCTCGCCACTAATACGTACCGGAAGAGAGACTCAGGAGCAGGGCCGGAACCATTGAAGGGTTGAGGATAATTGAAGTTGAACCATACTGAAATCGCCGCCGAACGGCCATCGAAGTGTATTTCCGAGACGTAAAGGTACCCGGTGTATCCAAGGTATGAGGGAGGCGTGAAAGCCTCTGTGGATGAAGTTAATCGCCAGGTCAGTTTCCATCTAGCGACGACGATTTAACGAGGAGAAGTGGGTTCAAATCCCACCAGAGGCGTGCATTTCTACCACTGCAACTTTTTTGTGCTGTTGGGTGTTGGTGTCATAGACGAATGGGGCTTGTCGATGCATGTACCCAAAGATAAACTCTGGAGATGAGGGGTGTTGTGATTGAACGATTGAGATTTTTGAAGTTGAACCATGCGCAAACCTCGGATGGTCCATCCATTTTTAAAAAAAAGACGCAGAGGTACGCAGTGTACTCGAGGTACGATCGAGGCCAGGGAAGCCTTTGTGGATGAAGTAAATCGCCTCTAATACATTGTTGGATTCTCCAGTTCGTTTAACGAGGAGAAGTGGGTTCGATCCCCACCGGAGGCATTGTTGCGGGCTCAAACATCTTTTTGCGTGCATGTGTGGCATGTATGACTTTGCCGCTATGCATCGGAAGACATCGAGGACTCCAGGAAGATTCAACTGAGATAATTAAAGGTTGAACTACACTCGTTGGATGTCACCTGCAGATTCAGCTTTGAGATGTAGATGTATAGCTACCCCAGGTAAGAGGGAGGCAGTGAAGCCTCTGTGGATGAAGTAAATCACCTCTATCGAATGAATCCAGAGAAAGTCACCCTGAGAAGATATTCAACGAGGAGAAGTGGGTTCGATTCCCACCAGAGGCCTAGATTGGAATGACCATCTTTTTTTCTTCTCCCATGCGGCGTCATGTATGAGTTCGCCCCCATATCTACGGAAGACATCGAAGGCTCTAGGTAGGAAAATTGAACCACTGCGAGCAAAATTGAACCCAGTCGAATTTACACCGAAATCTGGCACGGTGGGGATTTATTTTGAGATGGTTGAGGTGAATGGCATGTAAGTACCTTGGGCATGAAAGGAGTAACAAAAGCCTCTGTGGATGACCATTCAAGACTTCGGATCAGGAAGATTTCAACGAGGAGACGTGGGTTCGAATCCCACCAGAGGCATATTGTTACTTCACAGGTCCAAAATCTTTTTAGTCCGTCCGTCCGTGTTACGATCCGGCGTCCTCATTCGTTATCGACGGCTGCTGTTCAATTTCCATGTCACCATCGTAGTTTGGCAATTATCCAACAAAGGAATTCGGGCAATTCGAACCGCGGAACCCCGAATCCCGTCCCGCACTCAGAGGTTGACATCCTCCGTCTTTCGTCAGATGAGAATCACATCAATCAAAGAACAACTTAGGGAATACACTGAGACACGGATGCACACCCCGATCCTAAAGGCTGCACGGACCCCTGCGGTTGTGAAAATGAAGTTGAGCCACATCAAAATATATACACAGCGCTTTTGTACGGCAAGTCATGGGGTTTTACCCGACCTTAGACTCTGAGTACTCGGTGTATTCAAGGTACGATGGAGGCCAGGGAGGCCTCTGTGAATGAAGTAAATCACCTCTTGAACATTTGCATCGTGTCGATTAGACTCGTTACCAGCCTGCCTACGCCGTTCTAACAAGGCAAGCTTGTTGCCGTATCTACGTGTCGATGATCTATCAAGGAGAAGTGGGTTCGATTCCCACTGAAGGCTTGCAGGTGACAGCACTTTCTCTCTTTTTTTTGTGCTGTTGAATGTCCGCAGATGAGGAATGGTTGAGATTGAACGGTTGCGATATTAGTTGGACCTCAAGTTTAACAACGCGCAAACCGCGGATGGTAGCGTCCATCCATTTTCTTTTCAGAGACTGTTTTCTTTTCAGAGACGAGACTTATAGGTACCCGTCGTATCAAGGTGTTAACAAGCGTTCATAAGCCTCTGTGGATGAAGTACATCACCTCTGGTCAATTTTGCAGAGCTCTTCTTCCTGATTGTCGGGAGGAGAAGTGGGTTCGATTCCCACCGGAGGCATTGGGAAGTTCTGCTAAGGCCTTTTTCTTTTCTGTCGCGTGCCAGCGTCGGAGACAGTCTTGCCGATGCAGGCACCGGAGGAATCACTCACTAGCTGCGGGATAATTGACCGGATCACGAACGCACTACGGTTGAAATGATTGAAGTTGGACCCCACCGAAATCTATACACAACGTTTTTGTACCGAAATCTATGCCGTTACTTGTGTACGGATCGAAGGCGTTTTCAAGCCGTACAAGTACACGGTGTATCCAGGCCACGAATTTGGCCCGGAAGGCCTCTGTGGATGAAGTAAATCACCTCTTGAACATTCGGATTGCATTGAGGATGTATCGAGGAGAAGTGGGTTCGATTCCCACCGGATGCATATCGGCTGGCTATCTACGTTTTTTTTCTGCTGCGCGCCTGTCGATCCATGTACACTCGTTAGCTGGGGGATGGAACTCCGATGTTGTGATTGAACGGTTGAGATTTTTAGACTTGGAAGTTGGACCATATCGAAATTTCGGGCGGACCAGTCACCATTATCTTTCTAAGACATACAGGTATCCGTCGTATCAAGGTGTCAACGAGTGCTTATAAGCCTCTGTGGATGAAGTAAATTGCCTCTTACATTGTTGGATTCTGCTGTGGAAAATTTCAAAGAGGAGATGCGGGTTCGATTCCCACCGGAGGCATTGGGAAGTTCTGCTAAGGCCTTTTTCTGTCGCGTCCCAGCGTCAAAGACAGTCGATGTAGGCACCGGAAAATACACTCGCCAGCTGTGGGATAACTGAACGTACCACGGTTGAGATAATTGACGTTGAAGCATACCGAATTTAAAAATCTCGCAAATTATTATGGCCTGCGGTATGATCCATTTTCCCTCCAGATGTACATGTATTCAAGGTAAGAGGGAGGCCTTGAACGCCTCTGTGGATGAAGTACATCGCCTCTTATCCATTCTGGAATGTGAATACTTCAACGAGGAGAAGTGGGTTCGATTCCCACCAGAGGCCTACGTTTGATTGTACATACGATGCTTTTTGATCTTCTCCCGTGCAGCGTAATGTATGAGTTCGCCACTACGTGTAACTGAAGACATGATGGACATCGAAGACTGGTAGGAAAAATTGAACCACTGAGACTCAAATGGAACCAATCAAATTTACGCCGAAATCTGGCACGGTGAGAATTTCTTTTGAGATGAGTATGGCATGTAAGTTACCCAGCGCATTAACGGAGTAACAAAAGCCTTTGTGGATGAAGTAAATCGCCTCTTATCCATTCTGGAATGTGAATACTTCAACGAGGAGAAGTGGGTTCAATTCCCACCAGAGGCCTACCCTTGACTGAACCCAGTCGAATTTGCACCGAAATCTGGCACGGTGAGAAATCACCTTCAGATGTCGTTGAGATGAACGGCATGTGAGTTACCCTGGGCATGAACGGAGTAATAAAAGCCTCTGTGGACGAAGCACATCTCCTCTACATTATTGGATTCTCCGGTAGATTGAACGAGGAGAAGGTGGATTAGACGACACATCGAGGACAGAAAAACATTGAACCACTACTAGCGTAGTCGAATTTACACCGAAGACGTTGCGTACACAGCCGTGGTATGAGTTCCGTGCATACGAAGTTAATGCAGGAACGAGACCCTGCAAGCCTCTGTGGATGAAGTACATCACCTCTATCGGATGAATCCAGCGAAGCTGAGAAGACATTCAACGAGGAGAAGTGGGTTCAATTCCCGCCGGAGGCCTGAGTTGCAATGATGTTCTATCTTTTCTTTCTTCTCCCATGCGGCGTCATGTATGAGCTCGCCCCTACATGTACCGGGAGAGATCGAGGACTCTAGGAAATTTGAACCGACCAAGGCTGGTATAGTTGAAGGTTGAACCACACCGAAATCGCGGATTCATATCGCCCGCGCAGTGCGGTACAATCCATTTGTCCCGGATGTACAGCGGGAAAGAGAGCTTATAAGCCTTTGTAGATGAAGTACATCACCTCTATCCCTTCAGCACTCGGGATCGGGAAGATTTCAACGAGGAGACGTGGGTTCGATTCCCACCAGAGGCGTATCTGGTCTTCGAAATTTTTTACTCCCCGTTACGACCCGCCTGTCGTTATTAATATTATATTATAAGTATTCATCTCAGAAGCACGGAAGTTGGGAAGTTGGAAGTTGGCGAACGGCTGCGGTCCAAATTTAAATACAGTAATTATCGATATTCGAGTCTGACGGACGGCGCGGAACCCCGATCCCGAATCCCGCCTCCGAGAGTCTTGACATACTTCTTCCACTTCTTCATTTGATTGTGTGATTGTGATATCTATCTAATACACGGCAGACCCCGGTGCTTAAACGAGTTTAAGCTTGCATTGGAATGCGGAGCCCCGCACACGGGTGCGGGGTGCGGGGCAGCGGGGGCGGGGAAGGAACGCATTGTAATGTCAAATCACGGACGGGGAAACAGGGAAGGAAGTCAAAGAACGAAGGAAGGACCCGGAATCGCCCGCCCCGCGCCGGATGGGGCAGCGCCGTGTCAGCTGGGCAGGCGCGCTTGAACGTTGGTGCGCATTGGCGGTCAAACATAGGGGTGTATATCATCAAAGGAATTAAAGGCCAGTGATAAGGCGGTCTGGGCTGTGGGGTTGTCAGGCTTTAGCGACGTTGGTAAGTCGGGGGGATGCGGAAGGCGGGGTCTGGGCTCGCAATGCAATTGGGGTAATTGGGGGATTACGAAGTCTGGAGCGTGGGGTCAGCTGGGGTTTGTGTGGCGTTGCGGGGAACCGGACTTGGCGGGCGTATAAAGGTTAGACCGGGAAGCGAGGGCTCGTTACTCGCTCTTCCCACCCACCCACTCTCACTCCCTCTCTCTCACTCTCGCACTCTTCCGACCTCCCACTCGCACCTTTACTGCATCTCAAGGAAAGAGACGGAAAGAACAGAATGTCGACGACGAAATCGGACGCGCAGTTTACGCACGAGTTCACGGAGGGGGTGTACAAGGGCAAGATCAGCTTCCCCACCGGCCTCTTCATCGGCGGCGAGTTCGTCGAGGGGTCCAAGAAGACTACCATCGAGTGCGCATTTCTCCCTTTCCCTTCCCTTCCCTCCTCTTCACTCGCTCTTGATCCGCTAACGCGATCGATCGATTAGCGTCGTGAACCCCTCGACAGGCAAACTCCTCACCAAGATCCCCGAAGCGACCACCGCAGACGTCGACATCGCCGTCAAGGCCGCGCAGCACGCGTTCGACACGGTCTGGGGGCTCAAAGCCCCCGGCGCGCTGCGCGCACAGCTGCTCATGAACCTCGCGCTGCTGATGGAGAAGCACACCGACGAGCTGTGTGCGATTGAGGCGATCGATAATGGTGGGCGTCGTCAGTTGTGATTGGCGGCGCGTATCGGGTGCCTGGCCCGCGTTGCCCCGTATGCGTGGCGGGCCGTGGCGGGATTGGGTGTGGATATCGGGCCGCGCCGTTCTCCGCCGCTCTGCTCGTTCTCGATACCGCGATGCTGACGATTCCGCGCAGGAAAAACCTTCAACTGGGCAAAGAACGTCGATGTCGCGTTCGCTACGCAGACGATCAAGTCAGTTTTGTTTTCTTGTCTGCGCGCTTTTGGGCGCTTTTCTATGGGATCTGGCGGGGTGCGTGGGGGATCGTGGCGTGGAGGGTTGCCACGTCGGTGCGATGGATCTCCCCCGCCCTTCCCCCGCTTTTCGTTCCCGCTTCACCCGTCCTCGCTACCTTGATTCGCACCCTCGATTATGCTTTTACTCGCCTCCTCACCTGTCACACCTTCACATAGCGAGCTAGCTGCTCGCCTCCGTCCTTCCATCCCTTCCTATCCCATTCCTTCCCATCCCATTCCTTCCCATCCCATTCCTTCCCCTTCCCTCTTCCTCCCTCCAATGTGCTTGATAACACTCGCTGACCCTCGCTCCCCAGATACTACGCCGGCTGGGCAGACAAGATCTCCGGCCAAACAATCGAGACGGACGAGAAGAAGCTCATCTACACGCGGCACGAGCCAATTGGCGTCGTTGGGCAGATTATTCCATGTGAGTCGCGGTTTTTTTTTTTTTGGTCCTTTGAGAGGGGAGACAAATGTTCTTGGTCTGCGCTCGCTCGTCCCCTTTGACGGAGACGTGCGTGTGTATCGTGGCGGCGCGTTCTTTTCACTTCATTGTGGGCGCCTCTGCTCGCATATAGCGCGTCTGTCGTCGTCCTTGTCGTCGTCACTCCTCCCCTCTCCATATTATGATTCCAATGCTAACCCGAAACCCCAGGGAACTTCCCGATCCTCATGCTGACGTGGAAGCTTGCCCCCGCGCTCGCCACCGGGAACACGATCGTGCTGAAGGTGGGTTTCTCCGCCTTCCTCTTTTCTTCTTCTTTTTGTTACCTCTTCGCATTTTCTTCGGCCGTTGCTCGCCCCATCGATTACATTGGCTTTCATTTCCTTTGCTTTGGGAGATAGTTAGAGCTACACTTCGGATCCTGCCGTTCCTTCCCCGCCCTTTGCTTTCGCCCTTCGTTCGCGCTCTTCCCCCGCCTTTACGATAACCTTGCATCGAGTATACTTTCCCCCACTTCCCTCCGTCCCCGCTTACCCGTTCCTTCCTGGTACACCGCCGTACCACCGCCTCCGTCATTCCATTCCATCCATACGGTATCCTTCACATCCCGCGTCCCGCCCACCGAGTCGTCGTGTTGGTGCACAGTCCCTTCCTCGCATTTTCCCCGTGCCTGCCTCCTTCGTATCGCTACATTCATCTCGTCTCCCTCCCCGCCACTCCTCCCTTTCTCTTCTTCCTCGTTCCATTACTTCCTTCGCTACTTCCCTATCATTTTCGTCTTTCACCATGCCCATCTTTATCCCTCTGCCTCTTCCCCCTCCTTCCTCGCCCGTCCTCGTTTTTCTCTTTGTGTCTTCCTCCCTTCTTCCTCCCCCTTCTCCCTCCCCCTTCTCGTCTCTACCTTTACTCACCCTCTTCTTTGTCCCACAGCCCTCCGAGTTCACCCCCATGACCGCGCTGCGCATGTGCAGCCTCATCAAGGAGGCCGGCTTTCCCCCCGGCGTCGTTAACGTCGTTACTGGGTGCGTTTTCTTTTGCTCTTTTGCATGAGGGTTTTTACATGAGAGCGGCATCGCTGACGACCTTCGTTTCGCAGATACGGCCAGACCGTCGGCCAGGCGATCGCGGAGCACATGGATATCCAGAAGGTGGGTGTCGCTCTTGTCTTGCGTTTTCCGACGTCGCGCTCCTCCTCCCCTCCCTCCCTCGTCTTCATATAACTGACGACCCCTCCAGGTCGCATTCACCGGCTCCACCCTCGTGGGCCGCAAAGTCATGGCCGCGGCCGCGGCGTCGAACCTGAAGAACGTGACGCTCGAGCTGGGCGGGAAGAGCCCGAACATCATCTTTGACGATGCGGATTTGGAGCAGGCGGTTGGGTGGGCTGCGCATGGGATTTTGTGAGTCTCGCTCGCTCCTTCCCCACTCCTGCCATACTTCTGCTGCCATCCCCCGCTCCCACTGTCATGACTCTTCCGGCTCCTCCGACTGCTACAACGACTCTTCCTCCTCGCATCATGTCGCTGCTCCTTTCTTCTCATCCTTCCCTCTTTTCTCCTCCTTGCCTGTCTGCCCACGACCACTTACTAACATCGCTCATCTCA